TCTCCCTGCCAAATACACCTAGAAGTCATATTATCCCATTCTGAAAATTGTTTTGCAGAGACTTTTACGGGGAGAGCTTATATATAGGAAGAGTAATCAAGGCAGTAGATTCATTTTTACAGATTAAATTCTAGAACTAAAACTCATAAAAGGGATTAGGTTCCATTTCAGTATATCTTCTTTAGTTTTAGTTATAAGGGGTCCATAATTAATTGTTTCTAATGTAGAAATATCTTTTGGTAAATAGACTCCTAGATATCTCAGTGAACTTTGGTCCCACTTAAGGTGGTATTTGCTTTTTAAAAAATTAGAAGGGTTGTAATTAAAGGTTAGGAATTTGGGTTTTTTGAACATTTAACTTATAGCCTGCTAGCAAGCCAAAGCTATCTAAGAGTTTCATTAGTACTAGAAATGAACTAGTGGGATCCTCCGGATATAACAAAACATCATTTGCGTACAGTGCTATCTTGTGTTCATTCCTTTTAGTTTACCTTTTAGTTTGCTATTTTGCTGTATCCACTGGGCTAGTGGCTCTATATGTAGAGCAAAAAGCAATGGAGACAAAGGGGAGCCTTGTCTAGTCTCTCGTTCTAAAGTTATACTAGCAGATAAATAACCATTTATTTTAATTTGTGCCATTGGTCTATCATATAAGGTTGGAATACCTTTGATAATATTTTCACAAAAACCAAACCTACCTAAGATCCTATAGAGGTATTTCCAACTAACAGAGTCAAAAGCTTTCTCAGCATCTAGGCTCATCAAATAAGCTTCTAAATTATATTGTTGAATATGGTTCATGATATGCAATGTGCGTCGAATGTTATCATGGGTTTGTCTATCTTGACTAAACCCTGTTTGATCACAGTGTATCAAATGAGGGAGAATCTTTTCAATTTGTTTAGCCAGTATTGCTGTATAAATTCTATAATCCACATTAAGGAGTGAGATTGGTCTGAATGATCCACAATCTAATCTATCTTTCTCCTCTTTAGGGATAACTGAGATGATAGCCTCTCTCCATGATGGGGGCATTTTCCCATCAATTAATGCTGAGTTACCCATCAATTAATGCTGAGTTACAAGCAGAAAGAAGATTTGGTATTAATTCTGCTTGGAAGGTTTTATACTATTCTGAATTAAAACCATCAGTATCAGGTGATTTATTAGCTCTGAGGCTCATAATCATTTAATTCAATTCTTCTGGTGTTATCGTTGCTTTTTTAATATTATTTTGATCTTCCGTAAGAGTTGGTAAACCAAGAGATTCCAAAAAGCATCCATCTTTTCTTCACTTTTTGAATGGGGTTGTGTATATAGTTTTCTGTAAATTTGTCATTTCTAAAAGTGTTTTGGATTTCTTCCCATTTATATAATACACTATTACAGTTCTGGTCCCTTATTTTATATATTGTATAATCGGTCTGTTGGTTTTTTAATTTTCTTGCCAACAGCTTTAGTGTTTTTGACCCTGACTCGTAATATTTTTGTCCCGTAAATATAATTTAAAAAAAATTTCCTGAGACATCTATTTTGTTTCTAATCTTTATTTTTTGCATGTTTTTTTGAATCCTGTTTTTCTTGATGTTTTTTCTCCAACTCTTTTAACTTTATATTCAGATTAGATAATTGTAGTTGCTTTACCTTCTTCTTATGACTGCTCAGAGCAATAATTTTCCCCCTTACAACTGCACTTAATGTGTCCCATATCATCTCTGGTCATACTTCCCCATTATCATTCTCCTCCAAAAATATTTTTATTTCTTGTTTTATCTGTGCTTTACATTGTGGATCGTTTAAAAGACTGGAGTTCATCCTCCATGTTGTATTTCCACAATTATTACTTAATCGTATGGACAATGACATAGGAGCGTGGTCTGAAAAATATTCTACCAATATTGCAATGTTGAATCCTATCCTATATACTGAAAGAGGGAAGGAATAGTCAGTTTAATCTCGCCTACTTGGATAGAAATCTCTCCAAAGATCTCTTATTCCCATTTCCCCCATCAGTACATTAATCTTTTTATGCAATGACTCAGCCTTCTGAGAAGATATATTTGTAGAATCAAGCCTGGGGTTAAGACACACATTCCAGTCACCTCCACAAATCAGTATCCCTTGTGTATTAGCCATCAAGACTAACATTTTTTATAAAAATTAAAATCACTACCAGGTTGGTATACATTAAGTAACGTTAGTAATTTCCCTTCCATTTTTCCCAATACTAATGCATATCTCCCCTCCTTGTCTTTAACTTCTGTAAGCAACTCAAATCAAACCTTTTGAGATCAGTATAGCCACACCTCTCCTATGTCCAGATTTATATGAGGAGAAATAGATTTAATACATAAAAAAATAACAATTTAAGCCCATTCTTTCTTCATTTTAGAGAAAATCTTACTTCTCTTAATAGGGTTAAGTACTCCATTAACATTAAATGTAGCTATTTTAAGGTCTTGCTTGGACATATTTTATGTAAATGGTAGAACTTTCAAACTTTTTCCCAAAAGACATATGTTTCATTTTGTTAAACATCCTCTTCCCATCAGTTTTCTCTAATAATGCCTCACAAACAAAAAACACAATAAACAAAAACATTAACCAAACAATCTTAAACAAAACTGTATACATCTCCGTCTCACTCACAGTACTTCTTCTAACTGGGGTTCTTTTAAAACGAACCCTGTATGGGCTTCTCTTTTTTTTTAAAAAAAAAGGAAAGTCTGTTAGGGAAATCCTCCTTCTCTTCTGGAGGAGGGCCCTTAAGCAGGTGGCGTGATGGCACATCCAAATTTTCCTAAACTTATCCAAAAGAAAAAAGAGTGTAACCAGAGAAATAAAAAAATAAATAAGTCACTTTAGTCGTAATTACCAGCTATCCCGACATTTACAAATTCTCTTAATTTGCAGGAAACTTATTCAAAATATAAATAAAAAAAACAACTTAACAATTAAATCCTGACCGAATTTTAACACTGTATCCATTTACTTCAATCTTACAAGAGGGATCTCCGCCTGAAACTCTGTAGTTTCTCCTTATATTGCTGTTTCAAGGACTGGTCTTTCCCAGGGCCACCCCGTCTGCCAGCCTTCTGCCAAGTAAACAGTTGCTCAGTTGCTTCTTCCAATATAGGCGCTGGCGGTATAACTTGAACTTTAAGTCCCCACTCTGCCATGTCCATTTTGGCTTCTACTGCTGAATCGTATAGACAGGTAACGTCTTCATAGAACACTCGTAGCCTCGTTGGAAATTAAGTCTGAAATTTTATTTTTTGCACTTTCAGGGTTGGCGTCAAGGCCTCTAGGTTTCAGGCACTAACGCTCTATGCGCCCTTTCAGTTCTCAGTTCCACATCCTTCGGTAAATCAAGTTCCCCCCCTCAGCAGATTTTCAAGGAAGGTGACCATGCAACGTCCCGCAGATTCTTCGAGGATTCTGTAAATCCGAATGTTTTCTCTGCTTGATCTTCCTTCCTGGTCTGTTAATTTCGTTTCCTGAAGTATTTTGTTGTTGCAGGATATTCTTTATCACAGTTTTTGTTGTTAAGACCCTTGTTTCCACTTCTTTTGTTTCCACTTCTTCCCGTCCCTCTGCCTTATCCAGTCTCTTATTAACCTTGCTCAGCTCCTGTTTAATATCTGTAAGCTGCTGTTTATTGTCCCGTCTGAAGTCTTTAGATTCCTGTAATATTTTCTGAAGACTGGCATCCGCACCATCTTGTTCAGAACTCGCTGAGCTGCTCCGACTGCGGTCAGAAGTTGCAGTTTCGATATTTTCCGCGGTCGGTAGTTATCTCCTGCTTCTCCTGACAGCCCCTTCAGCCATAGTTATTACTTTTCAAACATAATGTAAAAAAAACATATTTTTCAGGATTTATTACAAAATTGTAGGGAGGTGATCTGTATTACGCTGCCATTCCGGCCCACATCCTAACCAGTTATTTTTAACTGATTTTTATAAATTTATGATTACAGTTGTTTCTTTTAGTTGATCTGTGTTATATTAAATAACTTCAAGCCAAAGAATTAGCAATTTAATTACCATCTTTTTTATTATTATCATATAAGGCAGGATTACTTATGTCTTTTAACCCTGCATACTATATATATATACTGTGGTACATTATGCAACCGTGGACTTGGTTATATGCAAATTGAGCTATTTTCGACGGTTCTCTGAACCGTCAAGTCCCTGTCAAGACCTTACTGTGACTTTTTTAAAGATTCTGTTTTGGTATGTTTTTAAGAAATAAAGTTCAAAATCTGAGCAGCACGGTGTTGTGGTGGTAAGCATTGCTCCCTCACAGTACTGGGGCCCTACATTCGATTCCTGGGGTGCTATCTGAATGCAGTTTGTGTTTTCTCCCAGTGTTTGCATGCCTTCCACAGTCCAAAGAGGTAGATTAATTGGCGTCTGTATAATTAGCCCTGGTGTGAGTGTGTGCTTGTCTGTGTTTGCCTTGTGATGGACTAGCATCATATCCGTGGTATGTCCTGACTTCCACTCGTTGCTTGTCAGGGAAAGCTCCTAATGCCAGTGTGACCTTGCAGAAAATAGATGGGTGGGTATTCAAAACAAAAACAAGCAAAATATTTAAATCTAGAAAGTTTGCGGTAAATTTCTCCTGGCAGCATCTCTACTTTCTTCTACAGTATGAAATGCTTCTCTAGTCACACAGAAGAATAATGAAACATCAAACAGCTGTTGTCTATATGTAGAGGGATCTTGTTACTGGACAGCAATGTACTGTAAATGCTATTCTCAATATCCTCTTCGTGACTCCAGAGCTAGCCATGAGAATGAATGCATTCTTGAGGACCTGGACATTTTTATATTTCTTCATCACAAAAAATGTACCTTAGAGCATACTGAAGTAAACTAATGACCTGAGGATATTAAAGCATACGAACAAGAATATTTAATGGAGTTGTTAATTTTAATTTTCAAAGTTTTATGACTTTTTATCCTTTTTAATATAATGTGTTTGTTTATTTCAGGCATTTCAGCTTGGTCCCACAGAAGCATCTTACTATTGGGTTTACTGGGTTCCTGCACAGTATGTAGATGCAATCAAAGACACAGTCCTTGGAAAATGGCAGTATTTTTAAATGTGCCTCCTCCCTTGACAATGAAGAGCTGGGATTTCAGACAAAACAGAACAAGAAACAACAGAACCAAAGGACATTGTGAGGAGGGAGATAACAACCAGCCATCTGTAGACGGTGCCAGAGAACTTTCAAGTTGAAACAAAGTGATATTGTATGAATGAAAAGAAGAAGGACACAAATGGAATCCAGAGACAAAATGTCTTGTCTTAGGTTTAGTTTGAAGGTCATTAAGTTGCAGTATCCCTTTTCTTGGACTGACTTCACCTTAGGCTTTATCTTTTTAGAGTAGCCCTGACTAAATACCAGTGAACCGACTGTATATAGACCACTGATTCATTTTTCTTCTCCCAGTCATTCTCAAAGTAATAAAACTATATTTAAGAAAAACATTGCCCAGGAAGATTTGTATTTACTTAAACACGGATTAAGAAAAACACAGAATACTTGCCCAAACTTGCCAAAGTTGTTTAAAAACTTGCATCTAATGTGGATGTTAGGTTTTGCACATTATGTGAGTAAAGCATATTTACAGAGCAAAACAAATCTAAGGACCAGCCATGTTATTATAACAGCCTGAATATTCTGTAAATATTCTTTCACTTACAGCTGTCAAAAGAAATAGATAGGGTTAAAATACAGTATGACCAAATACACACATTGTAGGACCTTGGGAAGCACACCTTTCAAAATGGCCTAGATTTACTTGTTACAGTATGTCTTCTTTGAGTACAGGGATGCCCTGAATGATAAAACAAGTGATGAACACATTGAGGTGTAGTCACTTATTTTTTACTTTTAGGCTATGAGGCCAGATCCTGTTAAGGCCCGGGACAGGGTACAAGTATTGTACTGGTTCTGTCACCACAGGAAACACAACTAATGCTAAAATAAGAGTGCATTTTTCACATTCCCCTCATGAAGGCAGAATGTTCTTTTATGAAAATGTGGTTCCTGCAGTTTTGCATTCATCATGGCTGCCGTCGCATCATCCAGGTGGATGCTGCACATTGGTGGTGGTGAAAGGGAGTCCCCATTACCTGTAAAACGCTTTGAGTGGAGTGTCCAGAAAAGCGCTATATAAGTGTAAGCAATTATTATTATTATTATTAGTCTTGTCTCATCTCATCTTAATAAGGAAACATTGGCAATAAGATCTTTAGTGATGATCTCCATGAAGCTTCAAATGTGTCAAGTGAAATACATCTTTAAGAAAACAGAACATTAATAATAGGACTGAACTTGACCCACACAAAGAAAAGCAAACTTTATATGGATAACTTTCAGAATAAATGTTTGCTTTTCTGTGATAGTATGTGATTTTAATCTATTATAAGTCCTCTAGTACAGTCTGTATAGAATGGTTGCCACAAATACAGAATATGAAAAGTGGTGTAGTCAAATTAAATCAAGCCTGTTGTCTTAAGACACTTTGTGAAGATGTGTGGCAGATATTTTTTTGCAGGGATTGGTAAAAGATGTTTAAACATCTCTAAAAATGCAGAAGTCATATTTACTGGAATTTCTGCAATTGAAATGTATTCACTAAGAGAAATCAGATCTATATGAAACCTAATGTTTAGCCTGTGACAAAAAGGGATATTGCAGCTTACATATTATTGTAAACATTTAGGGAAAATAATTTTTTTGTGTCCATGCAATTATCTTTGAAGCTTTTTATTAAAAAAAAAACATGTAGCAGCATGAAATCCAAGAAAGCTGATTTAATTGCTCAGTGTTTCACACCTGCAGGACTTTTTCTTTTAATAGGCCAAAGAGTAATGTCTGATTTGCCACATCTTATAAAGAAGTAAAGTTGCCATATGTGAGTGGTACAAGACCACTTTGTTTTCAGAACAAGGGCATTGAACCAACCTGAAAGGTCAGAGCCAGTTAATAATGTCATGGAAAAGGATGCTTTCTTGTTTTTACACCTCTGATTCTAAAGTTTGCCTTCACAGAAGCAGTGTTTCATTGGCTTTTACAAAATAACAGGTAATGTCTTTATGTTGGTTGATCCAGTGCCACTAGATCCCAGGATCCTAAATAAAGTACATCATTGCAACTTAAATATTCATGTTGGCGTTGGTAGAAGGTCCTACCTGTAAAACAGGAAACTTTATTGTGGCTTAACAAACTTGTACTGCTGGATATTCTGGAATAAACTCCATTTGTGTTATTTTATTGATTTGTTTGGTAGAAAGCCTTGGTCATTAAAGTTTATAATTGACCTGCATTTTCCCTTTTAATCTCAGTTCTTGAATTTCAGTTCTCATATGATATTTCACATCTTTAAATACGAGTATTGACAGAGGTCAGTGTTAGTTTTATTAACCAACATCTTGGCTATGAAATATTAATATTTTATAGAATGACGTACAATCCTGTTTACAATTCCTACAGGTGGCTGAGGCTTATTGCTGCTTTAAAGGTAATTACATTTTTTTTATCAACATCATAACCAGTTACAATATTACGTTATTAGGGTTATATTAATAAAATTATTACTTGAAAATTACTTTAATTTTAAATTGTGAATATTAGTCATGTCTAGTTTATAGTGAAGTTGCTGAATAAAACTGGTATTTATGGCATGCTTTGAGTTATGTATGTTCATAATTCTTACAAGGGATGAAATAATAACTTTTTTAATTATTAGCTTGCAGTTAATGGTCTTTTGAAATTAAATGAATCTCTATATTGCACAGGTATAAGATGCAGAGGAAGGAACTGTGCTGGAGAATGAATGATACAAAGACCAAACTGCTACCTAAAGGTATTTGTTGGAGTTTTCTTATGTTGCATTGCAACACTATGGGCTCTAAATAATGATCTAGGGAAAGGTGAGATATGTTACACAGCATTCTGCCCAAACATTATTTCTGCACTGTGTATGAGGACAAGTCATGTACAGTACAATTCACATATGTAGTGAAATTACTTCTTAATAGGTGTATGCTGCATTTTGTTTGGTTTAGTATGTAAAACTAGAGAGCTGGATGGAAATACTTATTTTTCAGCCCTACCTAGAATGGTTTCTGATGGTATGGCCCAAGGCTTTAGAAGCAATTTAGCCACATAGCTAGAATGTTCTTCACAATATACAGTAAATGAGAAAAGTTAAGCCAGTCATTGCTTTTCCTATATGTTGAGCGATTATATCATACTTTTACACTTAGCTGTAAAAGATCCCCAATTCGTCCTCCACAGCATGTCTTAGCCATCTGTTCCATTTATTGAAACTTCTATAAAATGAGACTGTTGTACTGCTCTAGATGTTCCCTAAAGCTTTTTGTGATTTTAGAGTCCAGAACTGTATGCAGATTTTCAGATGTGATCTAATAGCATATAGCCTAATGAACCAAATGCCCACTTTTAGCATTCTGCCTGGCATAGAAAAGCGTAGAAAAATAGCAAAGCATAATTTACCTCTTTTGTGATGATTGCAAAGGTCTTGAAAATTCATTAAGTAGCCTGTTAATTTCCAGCAGGCTGTCAAAAACTGGCTTAACTAGTTTAAAGAATCTGCTCCAACCCTTAACTATTTTCCCACAGTTCACTATTTCTATGCTACCCATGGTATAGTCACTGACCCGAACGTTAAAAACCACCATGGAATGGCACGTTGGAGCTCTGTGAGCAGCAGTTTGAATAGGTATTAGCATATATTCCATAGGATAGCTTGGTTGTATCATTCTTTCAAGGACTTGAGGTAGTGATGCGATTAACGGTGTGTGGGACTGAACTTTGTCATATGCCCACAAGCTGTCAGTGGAATTGAGATCTGAGTTGTTTTTTTTTTGTCAGCTCTGGCAAGAGAAGTCTTCATCAACTAAAACTGATTTGCTGTTAATGCCTTTATTTTCGTCTTCATATGCATGAAGAAGCACGGTGACTCAGCACCAAATATTACTGAACTCTATCACCTACATTACCATATCCGGGTGCTTTACACATTAATTGTTAATTTCCGTGTCCAATACAAAAGTAAATTATGAATCCTTCCTGATTCCCACAATTTTAAGCTAAAGCATAAATTGCTAACAAATCCTTCTTGAAAAACAGAGTCAATATTATAATCCCTATACATGTCTAGTTTGTGAGATTTTTTAAATAAACCATATTTTTATATGTTTTTGTTAAGATCTTAAGTAATGGAATTTACACAGTAACCCTGGAATTTCCTCAGTATTTGGTGACCAGTAAAGAAATGGCTGTAAATGTTCTCACTGTTTTTTTAATAATCCTGGGATAAACAGTGGGTATATCCCACCCCCTTTCAAAATTTGTACCTTTTGTTGTATGACACTCTGAAAGTAAAAACAAATTAAATTAGGCTTGTTCCATTTTTATTTATACACAGTAACCCACATTAGACAAGTGAAAATAAAATTCTAAAACATTCTGAGAATTATTTAATGTTACAACAATAAAATACTTTATTTGCTTTCAAAAGAACTTTGAGTTGTGGAAAACAACAAGTTGAGAACTGGGTATAAAAAGATTTCAAATGCTTTAAGTATCCCATGGAGCACAGTGACGACCATCATTAAGAAGTGGAAGGGGTATGGCACCACCCAGACCTTGCCTAGATCAGGCCGTCCCTCCAAACCTGATGACTGAGGAAGAAGGAGACTGATCAGAGAGACTACCAAGAGGCCGATATCAACTTTGAAAGAGCTACAGCCCTTTAAAATAAGATAAGATCACTTTATTAACCCTATACAATTTCTTGCATTAGGAATTTGTCTTTTCGCATACCCCAGCTTGCTTTCAATGAGACACACAGATAAGGAGAGAGCAGCCCTGGAGCAGTTGGAGTTAAGGGCCTTGCTCAGGCGCCCAACGCGGTAGGATTCCTCTTCCGGCCACGGGATTTGAACCTGCAACCTTCCAGCCACAGGCGCAGATCCTTAGCCTCAGTGCCACTGCTCCGCCCTTTATTGCAAAGAATGGTCATTGTATGCATGTGACAATATCACAAGCGCTCCACAAATCTGGCCTGTATGGGGGGGTGGCGAGAAAAAAGCCACTCCTTAAAAAAAGCCACATCAAGTCTCGTTTATGTTTTGCTAAAAAGCACCTTAAAGATTCTGAGGCCAAGTGGCAGAAGGTGCTGTGGTTAGATGAGAACAAATTTGTTTTTTTTACTGGAATGCAAAAGGGTACGTCTGGGGAAAACCCAATACATCTTACCATCCAAAGAACACCATTCCTACAGTAAAGCATGGTTGTGGCAGCATCCTGTTGTGGGAGTGTTTCTCTTCGGCTGTGACTTGGGGACTTGTTCACTTGGGATCATGGATGGTGCAAAATACAGGCAAATTCTTGAAAAAAACCTGCAGCCCTCAACCAGGAAGTTGCAAATAGAAAGATGGTTCACCTTTCAACATGAGAATGACCCAAAGCACACCGCCAAAGCAACCGTACAGTGGCTGAAGGACAGGAAGATGAATGTCTTTGAGTGGCCTAGTCAGAGCCCCGACTTAATTCCATTGAAAATCTTTGGAATTACTTGAAGAGGGCAATCCAACAACAGTCACTGCAGTTTGACTGAGTTTGAACAATTCGGTAAGGAGGATTTGGCAAATATTCCTCCCTCTAGGTGTACAAAGTTGGTAGAGATGTATCCAAACAGACTCAAGGCTGTAACTCAAGCATAAGGTGCTTCCGCCAAGTTACTCAGGGGGGTGTTCTCTTATCCAACCAGAAATTTTGCTTTCTGTTTTCACTTGGATGTTACAATTGTGGAAGACTGAGTCAAAAGGTCAGGACAGTGACTATACGCGGGAAAGGTTTTCTGTTCGCACCTAAGACCACTGTCTTAGGTGCAAACTAAAGCCTGTGATTCCTCACACCCATTCAACCAGAGAGATATGAAACAGATTGTAGAATGCCAAATGGCATCTCCCTGTCCTGTTTGTTTGACTTCTGACACTGCCCCTTTCCCTGTATGTTCCTTTGATATCTTGCCTACTTTTAATGTATAAAAAGGAAAGTATAACTTCAGTTCAGGGAGCATGTCTTGAGTGCTAGGGGAAACTTTATCTCTGTGATGTGCCCCCCTTCAGCTGATTGTATTAAAGATCTCTGTTTGACAATCTCCTAACCTGAGTGAAGACTGAGTTTTCTTCGACAATTATGGTGCCGTGACCCAGATGGCAACGCCGAACCAGTAAGTCTGATCGGACTGGGAAACTACCTTCTTGACACCAAGCGCGCCAACAGAAAGAAGGTAAGGGACCTTTTGAAATCCCTATCTGGTGTCGAGAAGAGACTTTCCCAGGCTGACCGAGTTCTTGCATGTTGGGCTTACGCCAATCGAACTTTGTTTGAGATTGTCTACAGATTTCTCTGGTATAGTGTACACAAATCTGGTCGGGTTATTTAGCACTCTGGTTTGTGAACTGCTGGAAAGTTCACCTGGTTTTGTGAAGGTCTAAATAAGATCTTTCACCTGGTTATTTAGCGCTCTGGTTTGTGAACTGCTGGAAAGTTCACCTGGTTTTGTGAAAATCTGAATGATCCTTCACCTGGTTATTTAGTGCTCTGGTTTGTGAACTGCTGGAAAGTTCACCTGGTTTTGTGAAGGTTTAAATAAGATCCTTCTCCTGCTTATTTAGCGCTCTGGTTTGTAAACTCGGTTAGGGTTTACTTGGTTATAAAGATATTGTGAATTGTTAAATTGGTAATTACTGCAGTATGGGAAATTTTGAATAATGTGATTTAAATTGTGCACAAGGGAAAGGTTAAGTAGGTAAAAGAAACGCAGAGTATGTCGATTGAAAGAGTTGGCGAGAAAGGAATATTGTGGAAAATAAGGAAAAGGAATGTATGATGTGAATGAAAGTGGGAAGTAGAATCACTTTGTAACAGGGTTTAAATGATGTTGGGGGCCGAGTATAGCTCTGACTGGAGCAGTAAAGCAGTAATGGTGGTGTTCTGGGGATGGTGAATTACTGATCCAGAAAGAGAGTACTCGAGTTCTCGTTTCTTACCAATTTGTAAATAAAACTCGAAGAAGGCTGATTTTTTTTTATCTTCTTTTTGGCATTTAGGACAATAAAAGGAGAACATTTTGAAAGGGGGACTTTCTATACCCACTATATATTAACAGGACCTGGTGACATCTGTGTCTTTTCATTCTTTCTTTAATACAACTGAAAAGCATTTTGGCATTACTATAAG